CCTCAACTCAAATGCCTCCATCACCCGCTCAAAGCCACGTGCCCTGCCTTTCCATGGTCAAAGTCCTCGTCCCTTAGGAATGTCTGACACAGCACAATTTAAAGATCTCTTCCCTGACTCGACTCCTCATCTGTGCTTTTGTAGTGAATCAGGCAAGACAGTGATTGAAATAGCATACGGCAACATCAAATATCAATTTTTCTGACTTTGACAGTTTCAAGAGTTGTCACTAACTTTTCTCAAGCTCTAGCTGCTTTACTCTGGTGTGCAGAATCAGTTTCTATCCTCTGTCAGATGTAAGACACCCATGAATATTTAAATGTTCCAGTGTACTGTCCTGATTCCTATTTTAACTTGTGTCCCCCCTGAGCTGACGTAAGCATTCCACTGTATTGGTTTGTGCAAGAGAGAAAGTATGGATTGTTTATGCTTTTTTTTTTAGACACTGTTGTGCTAAACTATCAGAGGCATGCTTTTATTTTCCATGATGTCTGTGAATAGTCTATAAAACATATTGCATATTATACCGTGTCTATGTAACAAAGCAGGGATGGACATGAAGTTCAGAGGCAGGAAAGTTCAGAGACCAAAACTGGCTCGCTGAAATCCGGATTTCAGCATTGGAAGTAAAGCACCAAAGTTGATTTGCTTGCTTCCATTTCTTGATCGTTAATTACAGTTTTCAATTAATAATTCAGTGTCTTGAACTATTTTGATAACTCCTCATTAAGAGAATCAAAGCTGATAATTAAAAGATGGGTCAGAGACCTTATCCACAGAGAGTAAAGGCCCAAGTAAACAAGATAAAAGATGCTTTGCTTTACATTCCTAACATGTAAGTGGGCCATGAATATTGATAATGCCAAGTACAGAAAGGGACCAAAGGAAGAGCTTGCAGAACCCTGCTTTGTCCGCAGCCCAAAATCAATACTGCCAGGACTGCAAAACATGCTTCAGTAACTGTTCATTAATTATTTACATGGCTCTTTTGTTCAAAGTTTCTGTTTACAAGATTATTTGGTAACTTGAAATGATTGTTTCCATTCAAATAACTGTTGGACAGGGCTTGAGGTTTTCTCTGGATGAACTTGAAAGAACTCTGTCTGTGTGGGCTGGGCACCTCCTGTCTTGAGTTTTAGGTTCAAGTCAGAATAACCTGTACCCCGCGACTTTGTTTCTGAGTGCTCTAACTCCCACCAGCAAGGTGTGCCGGGCCAAGGCTGTCTGCGCAGGAAGAAAGCCACAAGGAAGAAAGCCACAAGTGAGCCTTGAGTTGTAAGTTTTACTTTCTCAAAGCATGAACTTACTTAGAAGCAGAGAACATGCTATAAGGTGTACTCTTTTCTTGTCCCCAATTTTTGTGAGCTGCATCCATTCAGACTTCAGTTCTCAGTGGTTTTTGTCTTTGTTTTTGAGGAACTGGGGATTGAACCCGAGGCCTTCACACTGTGCTACACCTCCACCGCTTTATTTTTTGAGACAGAGTCTCACTGTATCAGTAGCTGGGTTTAAACTTGCAATCCTCTTGACTCAGCCTCCCAGAGTGCTGGGATTACAGGCATGCACCACACCTGGCTGAGCCCCAGTTCTGAAGAAGGACTGTCTAGTTCTCTTCTTATAGGAAATGAATACTTGGACCTCAAATTATTCATAAAAGGTACACAGTACTATTAAGAGTATGTTCTTTGATAAGTTCCATGATATGATTTTTATGATCCAAAGACTCCTATAAGGTGGCTTTGGTTTGACTATGTTTGTCCTCTTCAAAATGCAGATTTGAATTTGATTGTGTTGCGGGGGCAGAGCCTTCAATAGGTGAGCAGGTTGTTAGAGACCAACGCCCTTCTCATGGCAGAGTTCTCACTCTAGAAGGACTGTGTAAGCAAGGTATCCCCACTGTCCTCTCTCTTTCACATCCATCTGCCTGTGCCAACGCTTTCTGCCATGTCACACATTACGTTACCCTCACAAGACACCATTATGCCCTTGGACTCTGCAGCCGTTGCAGCCATGAACCACAATAAGTGTTCTGCCTGCTGTCAAGTGTCATTTTAGGAACAGAAATTGCACTAAGACAAAGGTGTAGATATCTTTATCTTCACTTTCTAAGTAAAGAAGCTGCAACTGATATATCGTTTTGGGATGAAGTAGCAGAGCCAGGATTCAAAGTCAGGTTTATTTGCCCCCAGCACTTGAACTCTTTGCTACTATCTTTGAGGGTTCTAATAAACTCAGTTTAAGTGATATGTAAGTGAATGGCAGGACTAGGTTCCAATAAATACTTACAAAGCAGGCAAGCTGGATTGGACCTATGGGTCACAGCTTGCCAAACCCTAGAACAGAGAAATCCACATACTTTAGGTTCTTGTCTAAATAGTACTTTGCTAATCTAGAGGTAAAGGTGATCATCGGGATAGGATTGGGTTCATCTTAATAGCCCACAAAATATAGTTAATATTTAAGTCCATAAAATATTTATTACAGTAGGACGCACTACCATTAATCTCACTCAAAATACCCCCCACACCCCACTTCAGACACATTTCTCTCACCCTTGCCACTTTCTGAAGCAGTTCTGGAAGTCCTCTTCTGTAAGTCTTTGTAAACTGTGATTAACTATGTGGTGGATACTGCCACCAAGTGCCGTCCAACAGAAAGGCAGGCTCATAAAAACATGACCAGGTATCCATCCTGTTCCCCAGGTCTGGCATTGGGCCACTTCTGGGCTTTCCCCAAAGCCCAAATGACCATGAAAGGTAAACATTTTGAATCCATTCCCCATCTTCAAGGCAGCCACAACAGTACAACTGAATATACTCACAAGAGAGGACTTCCAGAGCTGCTCCCGAAAGTTGCAAGAACAATGGGGTACGTGTGTTTGAAGTGAGGCGAGATATTTTGAGGGGGATTAATGTCAATATGTCTTTCACTGTGATAAATTTCCATTTAAAGTCACCTTTTTTTTTACCTTATCTGTACAGAGGAATTTTTCAGTCCTAAAGAATTTATCTGTGAAATAAGACATCTTTGGTATGATGGCTTCAGTTGCCATTTTCAGAAATCCATTCTCAAAGAAGTTCTTCCAAAATAACATTTGGTCATATGAGCAATTATTCAAACAAGGGGAGCTAACCAAGCTGTAAAGGTGGTGGACTGAGGAAGATCAATCAATCAATCAATCAATCAATCAGTCAATCAAAGGGGCCACTTCTCTTCACCTAAAAGGTAACATGAGAAAATTCGAGTTCAGTGTTGCTACATCTTCGTATTCAAGAATTTTGGATACCTACCTAACATCTTCTGGATCATATACACCCTAATGCAGCCTCTGACCAAAGTTTCTGGTGTGAAAAAGGGCTGGTGACCTTTGAATAGAGACAGTGGTGTATACATAGTCTTACAGGGAGCTTATAGTTCACATATAACCACAGAGCAGCTCAGTATATATAGTAGTACCCAAGGCCAAAAGTTTCCTTTAAATACATAGAAAATACTGGAGTTTAAATAGAAATTCAGTTATAAATATCTGGCTTATTTAAAAACGTTAGCAGCATGATATTCTTTCTCAGTGTATTGGCATATTATACAATAGTATCAAAGAGGGCAGGTGCTGGCTGTAAACATATATAACCCTGATAATAGGAAAGGGTGAATATGATCAAAATACATTACAAACATTGAAATCTTCCCCCCAAAATGTGAAACTAAGAGGGAGGGCAGCAAGTGGATAATGGAGGGATATTCAAAGATGTTGTGTGCATGTACAAAACTGCCAAAATGAAACCCATTAATCTGTATAACCAATATGCCTTTTAAAAAGTGGAAAAAAATAAAATAGGGTCAGACACTAGCCAGATTCTAAGGCTACTGCATCTCCACGACACTTAAAATACAGAACAGTATATGTCACTTTTACATTACTCAAAAATAAGCCTACAATTTCCTGCATTTTATCATGATCCCTCATTGTATAATTTTCTAATAACAGTGTGGGTTTGGGCACGTTTAATTTTGCTAGGTCTTAAATCTCTCTGTGAAATGGGAATATTCATAAAGATCTCCTAGGCTGAGTAGAGAAATGGAGTTGTTTGTAGAAGGATAGAGAATCTCAGTAAGTCAGGGAAGTCTTGGGGAGGTTCAGTACGTATTTGAGTTGCCTTTTTTCAATGGCAGGCAGTGAAATGGCATGTGCAGGGTGCAGCAGCACACTTGGACATGAGGGAGAGTTATAAAAACTATGTGGTTACTGGCTGCCTTAAAGAAATCTAGGCTATCTTCGCAGTGCCCAGTGGGCAGCTAAGTGCTTTAAGAAACTTGACTCAAAGTTTCTTGGGTTGGGAACACATGTGCCACAGTGGACCCAATGCTGGCCTGACTGCTATCCTCAGGACTCCCTTGGTCCGTAAAACTGGAAAAATTTCCTTGCTACTTTCCTACAAGAAGGGAATAGGAAGGGTAACATTAAAATGCTTTTCAAGGAAAGCCCTATTTCTGGGCTTGCTTTTGAAGTAGGTAAAAAGTACACTTTGAAGTAATAATGGCTCAAATGGCAGCTTCCAGGCCTGCCATTTTGCTAAATGGACCACTCACTCCCTGGAAGTCGTTTACTCCCTGTAAGTGGACCTCAAGGTGCAGTAGTGTCTTTGATGCTTGATCTTATTTGGGGTCACACAAGATCAGATGGGTGGGCTAAAAACTAGGATATTGTTCCACGAACCATAAAACCTTACATTTTCTTAACATTTTTTTACAATGGACTGTCTTACACCAAAGACAGCAGAGCTTAGGCAACACACCAAAAATATACCTAAGCCTAACTGATCACTGGATCTTAAATTCTCCTTAAAGCTACATAGGCTCTGTCACACAGCCACATCCCTGAACTTAAACGTTATTTAATGTTATTTATAAAATCAGTTGTTTTTATATTTATATTTAAAATTGTATAGGCTTGGAATTTAACACAAAGTCTCAAGGCATGAAATAATCACAAAAATATATATGTCATCAGCAAAATTAAGTTTTTACTATTAATATGAGAGTACAATTCTGGTAGGTATCCATCCAGCCAAATGCAAGTAGAATTTAGCAAACAAACGGATATAACCCATTTCCATTTATTTTGCAAGAATGAAATCAAATGATTGTTACCACTGTAAATAACATTGTCCCCCTGATTGTGACAGGGTGGGGATAATTAATGTGGAAAGTTTTCTTTTGTGTCATTTCTTAATATAGAAAACCCTTCCCATATTATTATAGCAGTATATACATTAATAACATTATGCTTTTAAAATCTGGACTAATCCCTTAACTGTTTCACATGTATCTGTATGACAGCATCTGCATATATGCAGAGACTTGTCTGCTGCAATCATTAAAATAAGAAAAACTGACTCAGATTCTACTTACATTTAAAGAAATAAATGGCTAACAAATAAATAGGGAGTTAACCTATGAAGAAATGATTTATAGTGTAAAAATTCAGCTTTTGAAGAAAAGACTCATGTCTACAAGTTAACAAAATAGTTTTATATAGTTGGCATAAACTGGATCTAAGAAATCACCCTTAATCTAAACACAGACTACTTTATATTTAAAATGATTTACCTGTGTGACACACATAAGCCATAAAAATCCCCCAAAGTTTTATTTTTCTGTGTGAATATGCCAGGATTGAGCTTTGGTTGCAAAATATTAGAGTTGATATGCATTTTTACAACTCAGTTAAGTGGGAAGTGAGGTTAAAATGCTCCCATTTCATTTCTGCTAACCTAGCAATGGAGTCTAAAAGGCAAAAGTTTTAAATTATCAAAAGTAAAAATATAAATGCATACACAGTAACCCCAATGTATCCTTCTTTTCTTCAAGGCTTATAAAATAAATACTATTCACCAGTCCATTGGAGTTCATTCACTGACACCTACAAATACTTTTGCCAAACTCTTGTTATTTAGAGTTCTTTCAAACCACTTTAATACAATGGTTAAAGGAAAAATTCAAAAGAGAAATAAAATGAGGATCCTTTAAATCATATGTCCACAATCCTCTGCAGAGGCCAAGAGAAACTGAAGATAACATGGTCTCTTACAGGTGATCTATTTTGATGTCTCTGATTTGTTCCTCCTGGATAGCTCAGAGGTGAGTTCCCTTGGAGTCCAGATCAGACGACAGTTGTGTGGCAGCCAGTGACTACATCCCAGTATAATCAAATCACGAAGCTGAGAGGGGAGGGACAGTCAGGCGGATGCTACTCCTCCCCGCACTCCTATCACAAATGTGAATTTGCTGAAATCCACAACACTCTTCTACCAAGGATGGTAATCCACACGAGAGAGCTCAGCGCTCAAATGCCCTTCCTCCGGGATTAAAACACAGCTCTGTCTCTGCTACCGTGTTACCTAAAATAAAATAAATAAGTGAGCATTTGATATCTCATACACATCAAAGATAACCTTTCCTGTCATGGGACAAGTAAGTCCCTGTTGCGTCACTGGTGTAGACTTTATCAGTTTGTACCATTATCTGTAATCAGCCTCACCAAATCAACCCTTCAAACAAAGTCCTTTGCATTGCTTGTAAGTCTTCTCTCACAGGGCGTGGTGTACCCTAGATCTGTATTGGTGAGGTTATAAAAATCCCATCAGATGAGGTACAACCATCGCCCATCCCTTCATGCATACTGAGTATGCTTTGCTAGTGGCAATACAATTTTTTCAAATGCACGCTGGTTAAAATCATTGTGTCGAGATCAAAACTTTGCTTTCATTACTTTTTTAATGCAGTCATTCTATTTTTAAAATGATTGCTTTACAAAACTGCTATATTTAGTAGAAATGTATCTATGAAGAAGGGGTCAGAGTTCTCATTTTTAAACATGCAAACCCATCACTTGCAGTCTTAATAAAGAGCACAGGAGTATCTATAGTTTTATTTGGTCATGTAAAAAAATCTGTGGGTTAGTTAATACACCAGCTTTGAGGGAAAGTACCATAAGATTTTAACATGTATACACAAAGAAAAATTTTCAAAATATACTGTATTATTTGACAGCATAATCATCATCCCTGGTCTTAAGGTCCAATAAGGCATTTATTCAAACCTCAGCTTTGCTATTGACTGACATAGGTATGACCTTTATTTATGTACTCAACAATAGAATAGTTCTTTTGTCTGGGTATGCTGCAGCAAAACAAACAAAAACCTTGCCCTAATGGAGCCTGCATTCTAGAGAAGGACCTATAAGACCTTTTCGGTGCAGAATTAAATATGGTGCGTATCTTCAGCCTTACAGGCCTCACAATCTGCAGCCACCACTGCACTCTGCCTTTATGTCACTTACAATAGCAGCCATGACAATAGGTAAGCTGAGGGGTATTGCTTTGTTCCAATAAAACTATCTAGTGGCACTGAAATTGTATTTCCTATAATTTTCACCAGTTAAAAAAAATGTTATTCTTGTTTTAATTTGTTTTCCAACCATTTAAAATTATGAAGCCCATTCTCTGCCCTTAGGTCATAGAAAAACAAAACAAAGCACCAGATTTCATCCACAAGCTACAGCTTACTGACTTACTCCGGAGGAGAAGGTAGGACAACAAATACATGAAAAAACTCCCAGAAAGAAATGTGTACCGCGGAGGGAAGGAAAGCAGGATAATGGAGAACAGAAGTCCTGGGACGGGGATGGTTACCGTTATACACAGGATTCTTGGCAAAGGGGAGAGCTGAGCTCAGACGTGAAGGCAAGGAGGGGGAAGCTCACCAACTGGAAGAACTTCCAGGCAGAGGAAGAGCTAAAGAACAAGGGTGTGAGGACAGTGTGAGGGCTTTTGCCGCTCCCTGCCTAAGGTATAAATATGAGATGAGGAATGCATGACCTGACGGTCCATTTAAACGGACCACTTTGGCCCAGGTGATGAAAGCGGGAGCCACCAGCACATCCCACAGGTAGGATGTGAGAAAAGATAACAAGGTGACCTCTAAGGTCTTTGGCATGATCGATTGGGTGATGGAGTTAACCACGTTTCCAGATGGGGTAGCTTATCTCTTAGCCTTCATTTCTTTGCCAGCAAAAGATCTTCTTAAATTGTAGTGAACAGTGAAATACATGGATTGGATGCATGGCCCAGTGCCTGTCACATGGTTAGCGCTTAGAAAATGGTGGCTATTGTCATGTTCACCCTTTCTGGACGTGCGGTGCCTCTATATGGAACCTAAAAGCATTGACAGCCAAGTATCAGTCTACAACAAGGATGTAATTCTCAGAAATATCTTATCTCAGGTGGCATGGTCTCTATGCCCAGCTCATTTTGGGAAACAACACTGAAAGTTAGATGATAAGATAGTCTCATATTTCTTTCCCTGTACAATCATTGTTGTTCCTATCACATGAGGAAGATTTGATTGTTATTTTTAAAATTTTGATGGCTACAAAGCTACTAATGTGCCAATACTAGCTCCTCTCCCATGCATCAGGACATCCGACTGTAGAGATCAGGGAAGACAAGACTTCAGGGTGAAGCAGTTATCTCTGATAGATCCTGAGAAATCAGTGGCATTTTGGAAATGGGAGAAAACAATGATTTTGGAAATTAAATGGGCTGTGTGGTGATTGGAAATGAAGGCCTTGAATTCAAGATGCTTATACTTTGAATCAGCTACCAATGGAGACCCAGGGCTGGTGTCTCACCAGAGACAGACCTGAGCAAAGAGTTCACCCTGGTGACAGTGAAAGCAGGATAGAAGCTCATTAAAGGTGACAACGGCTAGAGAGCTCAGCAAGACTAGTGACTTTCTCTTATTATTTATCACAGTCATCCTAAGGACAACATTTCTAAAGCATGCTTTTCTAAGCCCTGCCAAGATTTACTATTCCAGAACCTCCTAGAGATGAGGTCCAAACTATGTTTTTAAACAGGTCCCCGTGATGACTGTTCTGTAACCATGATGCCATTAAACCTTGACATTCACCTGGGGTGTAGCCTAAGGGACAGAAAAAGACCTCAACTGAGAAGCCATTTGAGGAAGTACTGGTCAGGACTTGGATTACTGTTACAGTAAGGTGGCTGCTGAGGAGAAGTGTTGCTTCTATTTTTTTTTTTAATTTCTATGCTGTTTCCAATGACCCAGACATTATTTTTAGCTCTGGTCTGACCAATGTGGGTATCATGGATTACTATGATAGCACCAACCTATCTGAAAAATTGCACTCTCTTGAGGTTTATACAAATATGTGTGGGTCACCTCTCTTCCTCCCTCATCCCTCTTGGAGTTTTCCAATATGAAATATTAGAAACTTTTTTAGACATTTAAACTTTGAAGAGCAAAATGAAACAAGAGAGTAAGGTAGGTAGCTTGCAAGAGCAATGGGGAAAAGTACCTTATTTGCTAAAGCGATTTTTCAACCTGGGAACTACTGACATTTGAGGTCAGATCGTGGATTGTTGTGGGGACTGTCCTGTTGCTTACAGGATATTCACTACATCCTCAGTATTGACACACAGATGCCAGGTGCATCCACATCTCAACACAGGACCACGAGAAAGCGTCCACTCAGTACAGCACTGCCCCTGGTTGAAAGCTACCCCTCTAAAGATACAGTTTTGCATCCTTAGTAGAACTTTCTAAAGTAAGAATATTAAAAATATGAAAGTTCTTAATATTGAATGTGATTTGCTTCCATGAGTGAGCAATACAAAAGCCCGGGCAAAGGCTTGGCTTCAGTGCTAGGGAAGTTTTATACCCTTGTTAGAAGCCTTAACCCTGACAACTTGAAATAGCGAAAAACTGTTCAGCCCAGAGAATGCATCAAAACCAAGAATTCAATCAGGTACAGGTGAACTGAGGCAAGACAACAGAGAGAGTTACATTTTCTTACAGGAAGGAGTAGCTGCGCCTTCTCTGGAGACGCTGAAAATTATATTGGTAGAATAAAGTTGATGGCAATGTTTTACTTCGGGGAAAGATGACTGGTTAGGGAATTCTCCTCTCTTATTTTCATATCTTCATCTAAGACCATGAATATCTCCACTGCTTACTCTTTTCATATTTGCATTTAAATGGAATATAAAATTCTGACATAGGTGGCTCACTGCAGATGACTTAACTTTCCTAGCCTCTCTGTGTTTTGATGCTGCCGTGCATGAATTGTTTAAGAAAAATAGAAACTACTTTGTTATATTGGCAACACCTCCTCTAGGGAGGCAATTGCTCTGCCTTTATAGGACTGCTGTCCCTCCTGTGGCGTGTGGTCTGCACCAATTTCAAGAAAAAAATATAGCTTCCAGGGCACTAAGCTCACCATGGAAGCTGGTCTCAGCTCCACAAATGACTTTATTCTGTATTGTGGTATAACTCATGACAAACAGAAAATGTTTTATGCAGTTCAAGTCACACTGACTTAGATTAATAAAGGAAACAAAGTTTTATGACTTTCAGATTATTCTCAAGTGGCATATCACTAAAAAAAAGTGGTCCAAGTATCATGATGGCTTGGGGAACTGTATTATGTTTCTACAACTTTTCCAAGTGCTAAATGAAATGTCACTACCATTGAGGATTTAGCTAGAGCAAACTTATATTCCCAGCACATACAGCCAAAATGCCCCAAAAGGTTTGCTTCCTGCTAATGCCCTAACTGCACATAAATAGTGAAAGAGAGAGAGAGAAAACTGCTCTACCAGGAGGACTACTTCAGACACATTCTTTTCTGGGATATACTTGGCTTCTGCTCATGGTCTTGTTTTACATCTGTATCTAAAAATCAATACAAATACCATCTTCCAACTGATATTCTTAGTCTATAAGAAATACAATGAAAGAAAAAATTTAGCACTGATAGATGTAAGACCTTACCTCATTAGAGACTTCAGTATTTTTATTTAGGAAGCGCTTAGGGGAAAATGGCTGAAAGGGTCAGGCAGGATAGTGGAATAATCCCAAGGCAGGATTTGCCTGGCAAGCACATTGGGTGTACAGAGCTAGAAAGTTTATTGTGAGTCCCTTGGAAGGAAGGCTGGGAGAGATAGTGGGAATGTTAATTTCCTTGCTCCTTCAGTAAATGACTCCAAGGACTTGCAAAGCCCTGGATATAAAAGAACTCACTCCTTCCTTGGTATCCATAGGAACCTGGTTCCAGAACTGCCATGGACACCAATATCTGCAGAAGCTCAATTCCCTTGTATAAAATCATGCTGTGTTTGCTTGCAACCTATACGCACCCTGCCATCTACTTTAAATCATCTATGGATTCCTTGTTATACTCCAAATAATGTAAATGCTATGGAAATAGTTTTGTATTATATTTTAGGGAATAATGACAAGAAAAATCTGTAGAAGTTCTGTACAGATGCAATTAAGTTTTTCAAATATTTTCCATCTGTGGTTGTTTGATTTCTTGAACTCAGACCTTATGAATACAGAGGGCCAACTGTAAATCAGGTCATAACAATGTCACTAACAGTGAGGGTTATATGATAGCAGCAATTAACATTGAAAATGGTCTTGATTTTGCCATGATGATTTTGACTACAATAAGGAACTAGTCAACTGACTTAATGTTCCACTGATTTTGGGGGGTATAATATCAGCTAAAGTTTTATTTAATTTAAAATGTATAAAATCTCATATATATTTTACACGTTAGATTTAATGTCATATTAATGTTATATTTAATACATATTTTGTAGAATCTTGTTTATTATATTTTACATACACTCTCACAGGGAGATCTTAGTGACTTTTGATCTTAGTGCTTGAAGGTGAATGAGAACTCTTGGCATTTAGTTATTCAAAATATTCATAAAAGGAGACACATAAGAAGGAAGCAAGCTGGCCATGCTACACTATACCTCCTCAGGGCCCAATCTCAGCAACCTGAACCAAAGCATTACTTCATTCCAGTATGTCCAACTGTGATAATCTCAGAATGACTTCTGTGATTGATTTTTATTCAAGAAATAGTCACCAAGGTGCTCAGGTAGCTCTGGGATGAAACGGAATAGGGTCTGACTTCCCAGGTCCCCCATTCACCAGCAAGCAGTAATAAGCAAATGTGCACAGCCGGCCATATAAAATGTAGCCATAATAAGTGCCCAGAGATACAGGGCCATGCACCAATAAGGAAACAATACCCTGGAAAAAACAAAGGCTTACCAGAAGAGGAAGGGAAGCACATTCCATAAAGGGGGGACAGTGCTGCAAAGGCACCAAGGTGAGAGGGACGAAGAGAAGACCAAGAAGTCTACAGCAGGGCAAAGCAAAGACTGGAAGCTGCCAGATTACCTATGCCAGGCTGAACAGCAGAAGCCACGGGCCAAGGACCCGGCCCCAAGGGAAGCCACTGGACTAGCTTAGAAGACAGGCATTTCATAGACGTCTATAGCCATCGTACGGCTGCTGGCGTGGAGACAAGATGGTGGCTGAATGGGAATAGGAACTGTGGACATGAGGAGTTGTGGAGGGAGGAGTTAAAACTCTCAAGTACAAAGCAGCCAATGGGATAGAGGGAGGCTGGAAATAAGTTAGATTTTTAGTTTTAAATTCAGAGACAAGGACTGCGAAGAGGAGTACTGGGAAGGAAACCGGTGACTCCTAAGACTTGATGAAGAGCCTCCAGCCATCCAGTCCATGTTAAGGCAGCAGGTATTTCTCCCTCAGTTAATCATCTGTGTGTATCTTGTCATGCTGCTTTAATACATTCCTTTGTCACCTCTGAAACTTTCCCTCTATATGGACTCATGAAGGAACAGAAATGAATTTACTGGCCCTGCCTAAACTAATAGTTCACCCACCAAATCACTTGCTCTATAAGAGCCGGAACAGAGGATGGTGCTGAGAGAGGGGCTTTTCTACAAGGCCGAAGCCATACAGGGGCACAGCCCAGGCTGACTTGTCAACATACAATAGTGCCGTTCTCTTCAGGGCGGGACAATATCAAGGGGGAGGCCCGGAATTCACAAGGCACTGCAGTTGTAAACGGGAGGTGTGTTTCATCTATACTTGCCTTTGTGGTTTTGACTTTATTTCCACTGCTACAGGACCAACCTGAGTAATCGGGCAGCACTTTGCAATCCTCTCCTTCCAAGCACGGGTCCATGTGGCACCACCATTTCTGAATCACGATAGAAGCTGAAAGACAGAGGCCAAATGGACAAAATAAAATGAAACACAAATTACAACACTGACTCAATGACAGCTAAGGAGAATTACCTCACCAGAAAGAATCCAACCATCTAAGTACTCTACAAAATCAAGTACTTCCTTTTTTGCAGTTGGCTGTCTGTGATACAGCTGCTGAACAAAGGCCCACCTGAGTTTGTATATGGTTGTATTACTTTCTAGATTTTTCAGTGACCTTGGACTAGCTCTCCAACTTCTTTTCACTTAAGAAATAGGGATAAAAATAAATCCTTGCCCCAGACGTCAAAAGGAGAAAGCTAATCCTTGTAAAGAACTCACCCAACTTTGGACCAGTCACTGTGTTCTCAGGAAAGGTTAGTGATTTGACCATGGGCATTCTAGGCTGTGCACCCAGTGGTAGGTGCTGATCCTGCAATGCTGGTGGTGGACGCTCTTTGTTAATTAACAGCAAAGACAGAAAGTAGTAGGGTGTTACCCGCTCCAGGCCAGTCCAGTCAGTGGAAGCCAAAGTGGGAGGACCTGGCCTTTCCTGACCTAGTCAGCTCACTTGTACACTCACTTTTACCTCACCATCCCGAGAGTAATCTCCTCAGAAGATGATTGGTGTTTTAACTTTATAAAACAAAAATTAGCACCCCCAGTCTCAGGAACAGAAGTAGAGGAAACTCCATCATCTTGGCTGGCGAATCCCACGGATTCACAGGTGAGGAAAAAAAAGCTTGTGATTAAGCTTTTAAGGTGAACACAAGTCATTAGGGTAAAGGTGAGGCAAAGAGAAATAGAATTGGCCCCTTTTTTCTTGTTGAAACCCAACACTTACATAGAAAACAGTCCCCGAGTGGATCTTTTGGCTTTTGCTTTGGATAAGAAAGAATTATAGCAGTGATGGCGAACCTTTTAGAGAAAGTGCCCAAGCTGTACCCCAAATCTCACTTACTTATCACAAAGTGCCAACATTGCAATTAACCCTGAATACCAAGGTTTTAGTTTAGAAAAAACAACTCATACATTAACATCGTTTATCTTAAAACAAAAACAACAAGCATGCCATAAGTTTGCCACCATTGAATTATAGTCTATTGGTTCTGAACTTCAGAAATGTATGGCCCATAGAGGATTTTTTTTTATTTTAAAATATTGACATGTAAAGATTGCATAATCAAGGCATACAACATGATTTGATATGCATATGCATTGTGTAATGATTACCAAAAATTAATTCATCCATCATCACCCATGCTGTATATTAGATCCCCAGAATTTACGACTTATTATTCAGATTTTATACCATTTGACCAGTATCTTTCCATTCTTTACCCCAGGCCCTGGAAACCACAATCCTATTTTTATAGATTCCATGCATATATGAGACGATATAGCATTTATATTTCTGTGCCTGGCTTATTCTACTTATCATAATGTCCTCCAGGTTCATCTATGCTGACAAAATTTTTTTTATAATAAATAATATTTCCTTTTTATAATAAATAATATTCCATTATGTATATAAACTACTTTTTCTTTATTCATCCCATCAACAGACAATGAGATTCTTTCTAATTCTTAGGTACTGTGAATAATGCCAAAATGGAAGTAAGTGTGCAGATATCTCTAAAAGATACTGATTTCAGGGCCGGGACTATAGCTCAGTAGTAGAATAACTGCTTAGTGCACGAGAGGCCCTGGGTTCGACCTCCAGCACCACACACAGAAAAAGGAGATATCGATCTCATACCCTTTGGGCATATACCTAGAAGTGGGGTAGCTGGATCATATGCTTTTCTCTTGAATTTTTTGAGGAACTGCTATGCTGTTTTCCATGACGGCTATAAAATTTCCACCCCATCAACAATATATGTGTTCCCTTTTCTCTACATCTCACCAGCACTTGTATTCCTTGTCTTTTTTTATAAAAACCATCCTAATAGGTATTAGGTAACATCTCACCATGGTTTTGATTTGCATTTCCATGACGATTAGTGATGCTGAGCACTTTCATATACCTGCTGGACATTTATATATCTTCTCTGGGGAAATTTTTATTAAGGCTCTTTGTCTAAGTTTAATTGTGTTTTCTTTTTGGTTAGTGTTTGAATAGCTTATATGCTTTGGATATGAACTCCTTACAGAAATATGGTGTGCAAAATGGCCTCCCATTCTATAGGCTGCCTTTTCTGTTATTCCTTTGCTATTCAGACACTTGCGAGGATGGGGATTTAGCTCAGCGGCACAGTGCCTGCCTGGCAAGCACGATGTTGTGAGTTTGATTCCTGGTACTGGAAAAAAAAAAAGACACTTGCATTTTTGATGTACTTGATGTAATTTGGTGCACTTCCGCTTGCCTGTGATTCCTGTGCTTTAGGTGTCCCATCCAAACAAATGCTCGCCAACACCCTGTCGAGGGGCTTTTTCCTTATATTTTCTTCTAAGAGTTTTATAATTATAGGCTTCAAATTGTTTTACATATATTATTTTTTAAAAGCTCCAATCTCATTCTTTTACATGTGGCTGTGCAATTTTTCCAGCACCTCTTACTGAAGCTGCTATTTTCTTTTTTTACATTGTAATCTTACACAGAATTTCACTAAACGAGATGGTAGGAATTCAACAATGGTTGTTATATTGCATATTGTTGTCTTCAAATTAGTTGTTCAGATAATCTGAAAATACTATTTTATCCCCACTATATATTCTTGGTTCCCTTATCAAACATTAGTTGGCTACATGTGTGTTTATTTCTGGGCTCTCTCTTCTGTGCTACTGGGATGTCTGCTTTTATGCCAGTTATCACACTCTTTTGATTATTATAGATTTGTAATATAGTTTGATCACGAAGTATGTTATCTCTAACTTTGTTTTATCTCATAATTTCTCTAAGTGTTTTGGGTCTTTTGTGGTTCAATATAAATTTTAAGATTTCTGTTCTATTTGTCACTGAAAATGCTTCTGGACATTGATAAAGATTGCCTAAATTCATAGATCACTTTGGACCTTTTGACATTAGTTCTTTGATCCATGAAAATAGGTATCACTTGTATCTTCTATAATTTGTCCTATATGGCCTTAATTATACAGTATATTTGTTTGTATCTTCTATAATTTCTTTCAGCAATGTTATATAGTTAAATTTCTTCCTAAGCACCTTATTTTTCAAGGTATCATAAATGAGTTCTTTTTCAAATAATTTTTAGTGTGTGACAATGCAACTTATTTTCAACCTGTTTTTGTATGTTGATTTTATATTCTAAAACTTTACTGATATTTTAATACCAAAGCATTTAAAGTATAAGCAATATCAATTATTCTAAAACTGTTACAAAAACTGAAGAAGGAAAAATATTTCCAGACTGATTTTATGAAATCAGCCTTAGCCCCATAACAATGCCAGCTAAGAATGCTACAAGAAAAGAAAATTTCAGACCAATATCCCTGATGAACCTAAATATTAAAATCTTTTTTAAAAAATAGTAGCAAATCAAATTCAATTGGAATTAAAAGAATCACGCCATTATGGAGTGGGATTTTTCTCTGGGAAATAAGGACGGGCCCATATACATAAATCAATAAATGTTATCCACATCAACAAGATGAAGGATAATAATCATATGTTCATCTCAATGGATACATAAGATCATTTGACAAAATTCGACATTCTTTCATGATAGTAACTCTCAATAAATTAGGCATTGAAGGAAAATACCTCAATACACTAAATCCCTAACTTATTAACTTGAGTTACACACTTTTTCAGGTATACTGTATAAGACACACTTTGTCAGATTACAAATGAATCTGACTTGTGAATGTTTTCCTGGAACGGAACTCTTTCATAAGTTAGGGATGTACTGTATAATTAAGGCCACATAAGACAAGCTACACTAACATGTTAAACAGTGCAACGGTGAAAACTTTTTAAAAGCACAAAAGAAGAAAGGCCCACTCTCCCTATGTCTACTCCACGCAGACCAGTCAGTCCTAACCAAAGCAACAGGTAAGATAGAGAAAGGACACCCATTATGGAAAGGAAGAATTTAAATGGTCTCTGCAGATAACATGATATTGTACCCAGAAAACCACAAAGACTCTCCCAAAGGTTTTGACCAGAGCCACCACTGTATGTGAAATCTGAAATTCAGCAAGCAAACTTCTCCAAATGCTAAAAAGCTTTGTTTTTAAACACTGAGGGCCAGGTACCCTAATTGGCATGCCTGTGTCTTCTTATTTAAATTCCATGGCAATCCTGAGATTAAAACCTATTATTCTCATGCCTTTCGCAGAGATGCAAACTCCATGTTGGGGGATATTAAAGGACACACAGATTGGAAGCAGTCAAGCCAGCATTTGAAGGGAGGTAGTCTAACAATAGAGCCCATGTGCTAACTTTCACATATCACCTTTACACGAGAGCCATCCAGCAGGGAAAAAATCCTATCTAGAAACTGTAACAAAGTAAAAGTGAGTGTGTGTAGCCAGACAAGCACTATGTGTCACAGTGAGCGTACAGGATGATTTCATAATCCTGAAGGGGTCATCATTCCTTCTTCACATGTGGCCGCTGTACCCAGTTCTAGCCAAATACTGAGCTACCAGCTTAACACACCTATCCAAACCAGTACTACCTCTGTCAGCAGATTTGTCACCAAGGAAAACCATTTTCTGTTTGAATCAGGAAGTCCCAACAGTGAGAGAGGCCCACTGCTAACTGGATAACTTATTTCATCAGAGAGTACCTCCGAACTGGGGTCAACGGATAGGAAGCCCAAGAAAGATACATATTTTTTGGCTCCAAATATCACAGCAATCTCACAAGTGCACAGAGCTGTGTCACTTTCAAAGGGTTTTACCAATTATTCCTTTTCCAATTGTCCCAATAAGCTTCAAACACAGGAAAGGAGGCAGATGGAACCAGAATGAAAACCAGAGATTTCTGCAAAGTAAGTGAGGCAAGGGTGGAGGCACTAGATCTAAAGTATCTCGCTCTCTGTTCT